AAAAAAAAAAAAAAAAAAAGTTTTGAGGCTCGTGTATCATATTTTTCATTTCCCTGACTGAAAGATACACTGAGGAGTTTATTTAAAGAAGGGATATGTCAAGGTCAGGTTCGGATACTAAATATACTTGTTTGGAAGCTGTGGAGGAATGAATTTGAGGAAGACCAAAGTGGAGCCAGGGAGGCCTCTTTAGAGACTGGTCTAGAAGAAGACGATGGTGCTCTAACTCCGAGCTCCAGTGAATGTGGCCAACTAAAGAACGAGCAGGACCTGGAGACTAATGGACTTGGAGGATGAAGAAAGCAGGAGGCAAGGCTGACTCTCTGCTTTTTTTACCTGGGGGATGAGGTATTGACAGCTAACGAGCCACAGAGGACGTTAAATATGAGTTGAGAACTAGACATGTTGAGATCGAGGGGTTGGCGGACACCTGCATATCTAGCAAGTGGAGCATTTGATTCTTGGGCACAAGGAGGTAAAGATACAAATCTGGAAGTCATCTGCACATAGCAGCTTTAGAGACCTGGAAAGGTGTAACTCAGAACTCAGGTATCCAAGGGGACAGAGACAAGTCAGACAATGGAATCAGTGCTTGAGAATCTCCCTGTCACTTACAGGCTGTAATGACTCTTCTTCTAGCAAAAAACAAATAAGCAAATAAAAGTCCATGCTACAGGTTTCCATACTAAATTGAGAAGTGTTAAATACAAGAGCTCTCCCTAATCCAGGACATTGGATACTATGAAGTAATACCCCTCTCTAGATTCCCCCAAATAACAATTTCACCCTAAATTTGTACTGAAAAAAAATCAATACCCATGAATGATCTTTTTCTATTTGGGGGACAGTTACCAAGAAAGTCATCTTAGTATCTCATAAAACTCTTTTTGACAATATAGAATATGTTTATATAATTAATCCTCACTATTTTAAGTTTCAATGACAGTCTTACTCATTTATCATTAAGACGAATTAAAATGGCATTCTTTACCATGTATCTTTCAGTCAGGGAAATTAAAAATATGATACATGAGCCTCAAAAATTCTTAGCTATTACATCAGTTATATATCAGCTCTTACATCACTGAGTAATAAACTGTACCCAAACTTAGTGGTATAAAAGAAAACAAAATCATTTTATTTACTCATGATTCTGTGGGTTGCAAATTTGCACAAGACTTAGCTGAGGAACAGTTTTCTGCCCATATTAGCCTGAATGGGGCAGAGTATCCAAGTCAGGCATTGGGGTTGCCTGTTAGCCAAAGAACATCTTGTACATGGCCTCTCTCTTCATCAGGACAGTTGGAACGTCGTTATATGGGGGCCAAGCTCCCCCTACTACTAGGAAAAATACAAAGCCTATTGAGGGCTGAACTAAGAAATCCCAGAACTTCTGCCACACTATATACACCAAAGTAAGTCATAAATCTAGCCCAGATTCAGGGAGTGAGGACATCAGCTCCAGGGAATGGCACCCTCGCTCAGGGATGGAAAGAACTGGAGTAGCTATCTGGTAGACAAACTCACACAAAGATTATCATCAGTTAGAATGCTTTGGGCTTTAGTAATCCAAGTAAAAGCGATTCAAACAATTTCACTGTCTTACAAATAAACGCAGAGGCAAGATGAACTGAGGGTTGATTAACTGAGAAGCCAACACGAGCCCCAGTTCATTCATCTTTCATCATGGCATCCTTGGTACGATCCCAACATGGCAAGGGTAGTTCTAAAAACCGGGCACTTACTTGCACAGTACTCAAAGGCCGTACAGGCTGGATAGGGGGAGAAAGCAGACCCTTTCTTCAGTACTCTTTTTAGAACAGAGAACTATTTCCCGTGAAGGTCTCACATCTCATTGATGATGACTTCCTGAACCCACTATTGGTAAGAGAAGAAATGACCATGATTGGTTTGGGTTAATTAGACTTTACCCCTAAGATGCCATACAGAGTCTCCCCCAAAGCAAGTGACTGCTTGGTACCTGAACAAAACTGAAGTTGTGGTGTTTTTTTTTGGTACTGGGGATTGAACTCGGGACCTTGCACTTGCGAGGCAGGCGGTGGAACCACTGAACTAAATCATCCCTGGCCCCAAACTGAAGTTTTAATAGTGCAGGAAGAAGACAGACTAGCTACTTAATAAGCAACTAGCTGTTTCTGTCAGACTTGTTGAAGATTCTGAACAAAAGTTACTAAAAGGGCCGGGGATTTAGCTCAGTGGTTTCACTGCTTGCTGAGCAAGTGCAAGGACCCGAGTTCGATCCTTGGTACCCCCCCCCCAAAAGTTACTAAAAATCTGATTTGAATGCAAAAAAGATCTTCCTCTAAGTAATTAAACTTCTTTTTTTTTTTTTTGGTACCGGGGATCGAACTTGGGTTCTTGCACTTGTGAGGCAGGCGGTGGCACCACTGAGCTAAATCCCCGGCCCTCTAAGTAATTAAACTGCAATATTACTATCAACTTACAAATATTCAATGCTGATTTTGAAAATGCATCAATTAAAAAATCACTTGGGAAAAATGTATAAATAAATAAAATATATGTTTTTTGTTATTAAAATCAAGTTATCTTGGCTATATATTTGTTCCATCAGTTCAGTTCTATTGACTCTTCTGGCAACAGGAGGATACAAATAGCAAAGCAAAAGAAATACCACAGTTAAACTGGTCTGGCATCTTTAGTCACCGTCTTGGGGCCTGTATTTTGCAGATCTGCCTCTGAAGAGCACAGCTGTGTGGAGACAGGAAGTCAAGAACCGATGGCTATTTATTTCACCAGTGGGACCACAGGCTTCCCTAAGATGGCTCTGCACTCTCAGAGCAGCCTTGGCATTGGGTATGCCCTCTGTGGAAGGTAGGGAGAAAAACTTAGTTTGCTTTTGATGAACACTTCCCTGAGCTGCCCATGTTTGTATCCAACTGCCTGAGTGACATCTCTCCTTGAATGGCTATATCTCCAATTATAACATCTAGAAAACAGAACTATTGGTATCCCTGCCCCACTCTAGCTCAGTAAATGGCACCGTCTAACGATCAAGCAAGAGTTTAGGATCCCACCTTGATATAATCCTGTAAAAGCATGTCTGGTTTCTTCTCATTGCCAGGTAAATTTACCTGTCCAGGAGGGCCTTTCTAAACAGAAGTTATCTACAACCGACACATTATCCTGTTTTATTTTCCTCATAGCACTTACTGCTACGTGACATGATGTTATTTGCTTATATACTTAACATTATCGAGTGTTTATTACCTTTCTGTCTCTCTAAAATAAGTCCAAAGATCTAGTCAGTCTTGCTCACTGCATTAAAACAGTGCCTAACACAATATTTGCTCATCCATCAGTGGATGAACTGAGAAAGTCCTGCCAAACCCAGTCTCTCCATCCTCTCTCAGACCACAAGATTTTGACAAAATCCCATAAGAAGAATGTTAAATAGAATCTCTCTCGCCTTGACTAGGGGCTTCTTCTGATCCTTGTATGTAGCCTGTGAAGCTCTATGGCTTCCTCAGAGATAACAGTTTGTTTGCTTTCCTGTTTTTCAGCTGTTCAGTTTTAGTCTGTTTTGTTGCTTCTCCACATTATTCAGGTATTGGCTGGACTTGAAGCCCTCAGATATCATCTGGAATATGTCTGACACAGGCTGGGTCAAGACTGCCATTGGCAGTGTGTTTTCTTCCTGGCTTTGGGGTGCCTGTGTTTTTGTGCATCGGATGGCCCAGTTTGACACTGACACCTTCCTCGATGTAAGTCATGACCTCCGATTACCTATATAATCTTTAGGGTGCTCACCTTGTCCCACCAAACCACAAATAATTGACTCGTAGGAATACAAGGAATACAGTGGACTTCTGAAAATCGTCCATTTTTAAGAGGCAAACTCTCCAGGGTTTTTCTCCAGGGTTTCCAGGCTTTTGAGTTTATCTAACAGTGGAGGAAGATTACCCAGAACACTGCTTCGAATCTCTCAGGATCTGTTAGCAGATCTCAGGATCTGCTAAGTCTGTGGCTATATAGGAGCCAGTTCTAAATAACAGGTTAGAAGTTTCAAGTTTTGACAAATATTTTGTTTCTGATCCAGTGAGGGAAAAAAGATAGCAGCTGATAAATCTGAACTGTGTGAAGGGCTGAACTGAAGGTGCAGTCATTTTTCTCCCTGTGCAGCTCTTTCCATTGTCCCTTACCCCCTGCTTCTTGTTTAAATTTGAAGGCGCCAATACTCTTCTGGAAACCAAGCACCCACTTCCCTCTCAGCCAGAGATGGCTAGACTGAGATGTCTGATAGCGTTAGCTTTTAGAAAAATGTGATTCAGGCCAATTATTTTTCAGCCATGAGAAATCAATTAAGTTTAACATACATATTATTAAATAGGCACCACACCTGTGTATGACTAAAAGCTAGGTTCACTCCACTGTTTTGCTAACCGGTCTGACAAGATGGGTTGAGAGTTTTAAGAGAAATGTAGGGCAACATAACAACTAGAATTGGCACAGCAGATTTATAAAGAGCCGTGAAGATAATTTTGCAGTTTCAAAATTTACATATGTACAATGAGAATATTTTTATTTCACAAAGGTAATGTGTTTAAGTAGTATAAAAATCTCTATAGATTTATGCTATATAGT